AGGAGTTCGAGAACAGCCTGAGCCAAGAGTGAAACGCCATCTCTACTATAAATAGAAAGAAATTAGCCAAACAACTAAAAACAGAAAAAATTACCCATGGTGCGTGCCTGTAGTCCCAGCTACTCAGGAGGCTGAGGCAGGAGGATCGCTTGAGCCCAGGAGTTTGAGGTTGCTGTGAGCTAGGCTGAAGCCAAGGCACTCTAGCCTGGGCAACAGAGTGAGACTCTGCCTCAGAAAAAAAAAAAAAAAAAAAAAAGGATTTTCTTGCAGGGCAAACCCAGAAGCCAACGCCTGTCTGCTTAGGGTCAAACTTGTTACCGTGCCCCGCAAGCATGAGGCCCGGCGGCCGCATGCGCACACCTGACCACTCCCTGCAAACACTGCCTCGCTTATTTCCTTCCAGCTAGCAGTTCTCAGGCTCCAGCCCTGCCTCCTGCTCTCCCTTAGCACACACTCACAGGACAAATATTAGTGGGCCTGTTCATGACCTCTTAGGATCACCAAGTGGGGACTTGGGTTCTCCGGCCTAAGCATGTGCTCGGTGTCCACAGTCACCACTCGCATAAAAGGCAAACAAAGGGGGGAAGGTGGCCTGGCCCTGTCTCAGAGCCACAGAAGTGGGTTAAGGTGGCCAAGGCCTGGCGAAATTAACAGCAAAATCTGAAATAGAGAAGAGGACCTTAACAGTAGCTGAGAATTGCTAAGAGATTAGCACCTCCATACTAAACAAACCACTCAGAAGAGACAGAGTGGCCCACGAGGACCCCCGTGCTGAACAGAACCAAAGACGGCAGCACAAGGCGTGAGAGTGTGGACTCGGTCGGGCCAGACAGACCTGATGGCATCCTGGCGCCCTCCCTTACAAACTCCAGTGACCGAGACAAAGTTCCTAACCCTCCCCACCCTCCGCCCCCTCACCTGTCTAACACGGACGTGATCTGCCTCCTGAATAGCACTGCGAGGACTAAGTGATGTGATGAGCACAGAAACTTTACTACTCACAGCACCAGGCACAAGTTTATTAATAGTATAAAACCATGTGCATGGTCAATGTTTCTTAGAAGTGTGGTTTACTCTTAAGTCATGTCACTGCTGCGGTATGAAAGTTCTGTAAGAAATTGAGGAGATATGTGTGGTTAAGTCAATAAAGAAATACATTTGCATATAAAAGGTGCAGTCGCTTTTATGGGGATGAGGCTAACTTTGGAGCTACACTGTCCCACAGGACTGCCCAGGACACCTGGTATAGCCGACGCTAGGCACAGAGAGGGAAGGAAAGGAGTCCACGGACCCTAAAGCACTCTCTTTGCCTGTTTTATTCTAAAATAGAGATAGAAACATCTCAGCAACTATGGGAAAAACTGTCCAGAAACCTCCTCTCTGATCATTTTTGAGTTTACACTGCACACTGGGGGGCCCACCCCAAACTTACTTCCCTAAATATTGAAAACACACAAAAAGCCTTAAACATCTTTCCAGTTCTCTGAGCCACCAATGGTAACTAACAACAAGCACTGGTTTAGAATTCACCCATGTCATCGCATATATTTTTCCAAGTGAAACCAAATCGAGAAAGGTTTTTTTTTAAACAATCTGAACTTATATCCTGCTTTAAATTCACACTGTGGGACTTAAACAAAACTGAACCCTTTACCCACCCCTTGGTTGCAAAAATACTATTTATTTTTCTTGCAAACGGACCCTATACTAGGGTAAAACAAATATCTTTCTCTCTTAAGATGTGTATATATAACTATTTTTCTTTTTTTTTCTTCTGACTAAACTTCCAAAAGCCAAACATCTAACAGAATGACTTATCACCCTGGCCTGAGGAAAAAAAAAAAAAATCTTTGTTTCTCATCAAGCAGAAATCAGGAGATCTGGATTCAAGACCCAACTTGGCTATGACCTAAGCGGGTGACCGAGGGGATTCCCTCCGTCTCTCTGTTGCTGGGCTCTGTTCATGGGACTGGTGGGCAGGGTGGAGACAGGGAGAGGAGCTGATCTGAAATCCTTCCAATCCCCAAACCCTAGGACTCCGGATCAAAACATGGGTAAACAATGGCAAGAGTTTTGTTCTGAAAAATATTTTACTATTAACTCAAATGGGTCCTGAGAAACCTTCTGTGTCATGCCCTTCTCAAATGAAAATCCCAGACTTCCAGGATCCAAGGGAAGGGTAACTACCGTGTTTCCTGAAAATAAGCCCTACCCATAAAATAAGCCCTAGCAGGATGTCTAAGCATTTGCGCAACAGAAGCCCCACCCCGAAAATAAGCCCTAGTGCTGGGCGTGGCTACGCAGCGCATCTGCACAACCCATGCATTTCGTCAAGGAGCGGTAAAGAAGAAGAGCAGCCCTTCTCATCCGCCCCATGAGAGCTCTGTGGCTCCACATGAGAGATTGGGGCCAATGGTTCTAAAGGAAACAGAGTCGCAAGAAATTCAGGATGGAATTTGGGGTTTGGAGAGTGATGATGATGTTCCAGAAGACGACGACTTAACTACATTTGAATAAAAGTAGATTGTTGTACCGTACTTAAAAAAAAAAACACACATCCCCTGAAAATAAGCCCTAGGGTGTTTTTTGAGGAAAAATAAAGATCCTGTCTTATTTTCAGGGAAACACGGTACCTTGTTTTCTCACCGATCCCTTTAGTGTGGTAACATCCCCGCCTGCTAGAACTTTAGGTTTCTGCTGCTAAAGGTGTGCACAGAGGTGGGTGTCTGGGAAAGGTTTAGTGGCCTCAGGGATGGCCAGGACACCAGAGACCAGCCTGGCTGAGGGCTCCCTCCCCACAGCACTGGCTTTTGGAGGACGGCAGCTCCTGGTGCCGAGCTCTTTCTTCCCACGCTGTGGGTCCCACGGTGGGGCTGCCCAGAGCCCAGGGAGTGACTAAGAAACCCCCAGACGTGGGTACCGTGTCTGTCAGAATTTCCACACTTTCTTGAAAGATGAGCCTTGGCGCTCTGGTCGGAGCCCGGGTCTCAGGGATATCCTTACCGCCTCCGGGACCCGAGTTCCTTGGAAACATAAGCATGGCTTTGGCGTGGTCAGTGGAGGGGATGGCGGGGTGGAGGCTGTGGGAAGATGACCCCCCATGGGGCACAAACCTCAGTCTGAGTAGCTCCAACCATCTGGTCAGCCCAGGGCGGTGTCGGAGCTACCAGTAAAAGAGGGAATCCCTGGAGATTTTAAGGTGCTGGCCATACCGTCTGAGGCTGGGGCCTAAGCTGTCGTCCCAGCGTCAGCGGAAGTCAGGGGCTGGGTGTCTGGCTTAGAGGAAGAAGGCAGTCTTCCTCCCTGGACCTCTGGAGGAGGGGAGATGCAGGTGGCCTTCCAGTGCCTGTGTCCTGCCACTCCCATGTGCCACATGCTGTGTGCAGCCTCCTGGCAATGCGGCTGTCCCTGCTGAGGCCCCTCACCTTTGAGTTCCTGTGCCCATGGAGACCATTTGGAGCGGGGTGGGTGGGGAGCAGGGAGGAAAAGCGCAGAGCGTTGTGCAAGCTCAGGCCCTGAGCCCGTGTCTGCGTTCTGGGCTCCAGTGAGGGTGTAGCCTCTTGGCGGCGGGAAAGAAGCCTCCGTCCCCAAGGAGAGCGTCCAGCGCTGATCTCAGCCTCCCGCCGGGCAGTCACGGGGCTCCAGGGCCAAGTGGATGGGCGCCCTTCCCCCACACCTCCCCACCCATCCCCCGGGAGCCCCACCACCGTGGCTCTGGCTCCCACCTCCTCACGCCATGCCCCAGCCTGGGAGCCCGGTCCAAGCGCAGAACCCACTGAAGCAAGGGCGACGGGACCAAACCACCCTTCCTAGCAGCGGTAACTAATGCCCTGCTAGCTCGGACCTCCCCTGTCCTCTCTCAAGTCGGCTGCAGGAACAGCTGCCAAAGCCCTCCCGACAAGGAGCCCCTCTGCTACGCGGGCAGCGTGTCTGATCTCCCTCTCAAAGGTCATCTCTCCCCACGGTTCCTCCCTTCCCGCCCACCCGAGTCAGGAGTTATTTATTTCTCGGAACTAAACGCCAGGATCCATCGCAGCTACCTCGGCAGCCTCCTATCAGACGCAGTCAGCACACAGAGCGGGGCCCAGCCCTGCAGATAAAGAGCCTTGGACGGGGCCACCAGATGGCCTCGTCTAGCCACGCACAGCCGGGCAAGCCCTCCGAAAGGCCCCTAGAGACACTGTGAAGCACACAGATTGCTTTGTGGGTTTCAGCATCTCAGTGACGTGGGCACGGGAAGTCCGGGATGGGCCTGGGCACTTCCTTGGTTTTCCTCTGCTGGATCCATCACTTTAGAGGACAAAGTGCTGTCACATGTATTGTTCCCATGTGATCCTTAGTCACTGCCCCAGGGCAGGGGAGGGCAGAGGAAGCAGCAGGTAAGTTAAGTGTCCTGGAGCCTTGGGAGGGTCCCTTCCAGGAGAGAGGGCTCCTTCTGGTCCTGGGGTGAAAGTGTCACTTGAAGGGCCTACTGAAACCGAGCAAGATCAGCCTTAGGGAGTCCTCAACCTGGGTCCAGCTTGTGACTCTGCAGTGGTACCTGTCCCTGAGTGTGCACAGAGAACCTGTAACGCAGGCTCTGCTTCCCCGGGCCCAGTCCTCACGGATGCCCGAGGAGGGGATGGATATCTGCTTGTGCCCTCACATGGGACGGCCACATTTCATAATATGACATGCTGGTTTGGGGTAGTGGCTTTTTTTTCCCCCTGAAACTTGGCTGGGAGACTCTCTCTGTTAACCCTTCTCTGGTTTCTCTCCAAGATTCTACACATAGCCCTCTGGGGGGGGGGGGCGGAGGTGGAGGGGGGAACCCCAGAAAGGAGTGGCACAGCTAGATAAGCTGGCTTCCCTTGTCAACATTTTAGGAAGGACCCCATCAGAAAGACGCTCATTCCTGCACTGGGCGGTCCACCCTCTGGACCCCCAAACTCATGGGGCTGCTTAGGGGACAGCTCCCCCTGTGCCCGCAGTGTCTGGTGGCCCCGGCAGAATTTCCTTACTGGCATCCCCAGCTCTGTCTCCCTTCTCTCCTTTCTCTCCTTTCGGGCCTCGGTCACCTAAAAAAAGAGGAGGAAAACTGGCGTTAGGAATGGAAACAAATATTAATTGTGACTACAGTGTTATCTGCAGGAGACTCATGAACCCAAGACAAGAGAAGCCCTCCGGCAGGAGCCAAGAGGGCCTGGGCAGGCAGGGTCAGGGCACAGCCGGTTCTGCTGCCTGCTCTGGGCACCCAGGAGGAGAAGGAGGAGGAGGAGGAGGAGGGGCCCGATGAGAAAGCTTCACTCCCTCCTAAAGCGCAGAAGAGCAGCATCTACCAGCACAGCCTCCAAGAGCACGTGGAACTCAGCAGGAAGAAGAGAAAGCAAAGACACTCCCATTCAATGGTCAAGGTTATAGAAGTCCACATCCAAGCACAGGGAAGAGCAAGGCAGACGGGCTTCAGTTACATAAGAATGCGGCGGGTTATACGCCAGGCAGATTTTCCCATGGGGGAGACCGTAAAACATGGTGTGGGTTCCCAGGGAACTGTGGAATTTCCTTCCCAGGATATGGTTAAAGGAGCAGACCTCTCTTCCCAGCTGGCATCTCCCTCTACAAAGAAGTAGTAGTCCTGGCACTACTCAATGGGCATGAAAATGATAAGGGATTTCTATTCCAAAGACCTCCAGAAAGATATCTGTAAATCAAAAGCCCATGGGCATACTGTCTGGTGTAAAACACAAGCCAACACTTTCCAGGGGAGAATGCCAAGGGTGATCCAAGTTTTGAAAAAAATCACAGGCAACCATATGTGTATATAGGAATGTGCTTAGAAAAATGTCTGCCAGGATGTGCTCCAAAGTGTCTACAGTGATTACTCTAAAGAGTAAGAGCTGAGGGGGCCGGGGGTAAGGATCCACTTTTTGCTTTTTACTTTATGCACTTCTATATTGTCTCATTTTTTTTTCAACAAGCATGTGCTGCTTTTATAATCTGTTTTAACATCAATTTTTTTTTCAAATGGGATCATAAAAGAAAGGAAAACCTCAGCCTGTTTCATCATCAACCAGAAAATAAAACAAAATTTGCCAGTGATCCCAGATCAAGGGACCATCCCAGACACAGGGTGGGAAGGATTAACAGGACTTTTTTCCTTAGTTTTCATTTTAACAAGTGAAGAGCAGGAAGCCTGGGGAAAGAGTGTCAGATGTTCATCTTCTGCTGTGAAGACTGGAGATCTGGACAATTCTGAGAGAAGCGCGGAAAGACAGACTCACTATAAAGCAGGTTCCCCTAAAGATGAACACGGGAACTATCTATAGGAAGAAAAAAAAACATCAGAAGAGACACGGTTGGGAGATGCAAATCTTAGAACGGAATTAAAGCTGGAATCTGGCAGGTCTGGGGAGGAGCCTGAGGCCTCTGTGTGTGTCCTGTGGGCCACCCTCCTTGGGTCACATGTCTGGGCTGCAAGCTGCAGAAGGCAGCCTCGCATTTTCTACGAGGACTTTAGTGTCTGCAGAGTGTTCTCCCACCTACGTGCTCATTTACGCATCCTGGCGGGCCCGTGAGATACAGTGCCATGAGGATTTCTACCTTTTAGAGGAAACACTAATGCTTCCCAAGATGAAGCGACTTGCCCAGGTGGCTCTGCAGGCCAGAGGCGGCGAGGGTGAGAGCCCTGCTCCACCCCTGCCCCGGGGCTCTGGGGCACCCCGAGATCCGTTATTACCTTTGAACCCACGCATGCCCATCGGTCCTGTGGCCCCCAGCTTCCCGTCGTCACCCTTGGGGCCAGGCAGCCCTGGGGTACCCCTCTCCCCTGGCAGACCTGGGGAGAGAAGAGATGAGCAGTGGAGCTTCGGACACAGAACAGGAAGGGCCCTTGGAGGTCACGGTCTGGTTCAACGCTCAGTCGCTGCCCAAGAGCACCTTTCATCTGTTAGGCTCGGGTCCCTCCCCCTGCAAGGTCTGGTGCTGCTGCGAGTGGTAGCGGGGTGGGGGTGCCAACCATCTTTAGGAGGCATCCCTTTATACTCTGGCGTGCTGGCGATTTGGATTCAGCATTTTTTTTTTTTTTATGAGCACTTTCTGTGTGCCAGGCACTGCTCTGGGTGCTTTTCACAACGTTTCTTATTTAATCATCACAACAAACTGGGAGGTATTACTTCACCTGTGTTATGAATGAGGCAACTGGGGCCCAGAGAGGTGAAGGAACCTGGCCAAGGACACACAGCAAAAAGGGTTGCAGCAGGATCTGAGCCCTGCTCTTCCCGAAGTTCCAGTTCATGGTCATGCTGGATCCAAAGGGCTCACTGGCACTTAGGGGGGCACAGAGGGATGGGCAGGATCAAATAGGAGGAAGATGAAACAGCTCCTCATCCTGCTTAGGAAAAACCAGAAAGATCCCTTCCCTTTGGCAAACACGGGGAGGCGGAGCAAAGAGAACTGGAGGCCGAGAGGGTCGGGAGATGGGGTGGGCGGCCTGCTGCCGGGTCAGGCCCCAGGGCTCCCAGCCACGAGGCCCGTGGCCTCAGCAGCACAGATTGCGCCACGGAGAGCCAGCATAAACAAACGCCCTGACCGCCCTGGCCTGAGCCCACAGTTATCTCTGCAAAGCTGAGCGCCCTTAATTAACCCACTAATTGTTCCTTCCTGCTTGGAATGCTAGTTGGCTTTCCTTGCGCTTTTCTTGTGACAGGGAGAAACCTGTCTGGCAGTAATTAATGATCCCTCCAGTGCTGATGTCAAACTTCTGGGAGAGGACCAGCCGTCTCAGGAGGGCGGGAGGACCTCGGGGAGGACTGATTGAATTTCCTTCTCTTCCCTCCTCACACCACATATCTGTTCCCAGAGTCGAACGGCTCCATGGCCACAGAATTCTGGATCTAGTGCAGGGTGTGCACAGGCTCTGACCCTATGATTCGAATCGCCAAGGCAGAAGAAGTGGTTCCGCAGCCAGAGACTGAAGCTGAGACGACGGGGCGGCCCCGGGAGCGCCACCCTTTATACCAACAAGAAAGTGGAGAGTCAGGGAGGATTTGGGGGTCTCCAGGCCCCTCCCAGGGGACTCCCCATTACCTCGAAGTCCAGGCGATCCAGGGATGCCAGGCTGGCCTTCCTTTCCTTCATTCCCCTGGTCACCCTTGGGTCCCGGTGGCCCTGGAAGGGTTAAAACAACACCAAGGTTAGGGGAGTCCTTTCGAGAGCAGGAAAAGGCTGTCTGGAGAGGAAACAAAACTCCCTCTCTGGTGAGAGGAAGGGTCAGCATTAGCTTTGAAAGCACCTAGGGCACCCCTAACCCGGTCTTGGGGGGGCATCAGGGAAGGCTTCCTGGAAGAAGTAACATCCAAAGCGAAATCTGAGAGAGAAACAGGAGCCAGCTCAGTTAAGGGAGGGGTGGGAGCATGGACCCGAATGTTTGTGCCCTCCCACATCCATATGTTGACATCCTAATTCCCAATGCGGTGGGTTTAGGGTTTGGGAGGTGATTATGTGTAGATGAGGTCATGAGTGTGAGGGCCTCAGGATGGGATTAGTGATTTTATAAGAAAAGATACCAGGGAGCTAGGGAGCTAGTGTGCACATGCGCCCTCCCCCTCCCCTCCCCCTCTTTCTCCCCCGTCCCCCTTCCCCTCCTCCCACACCCCTGCCCCCATGGAAAGATACAGCAGGAAGGCAGCAGTCTGCAAACCAGGAAGACAGCCCGCACCAGGACCTGACCCTGCCCATGTCCTGATCTGGGACTTTCGGCCTCCAGAACCATGAGAAACAAATGCTTTTTTTTTTAAAGCCGCTCAGTTCATGGTATTTTGTTACACGGCGTGAAAAGGAAGAGTTCCGGGCATAGGCTACAGTCCCTACAAGGGCTGAAAGGGCCAACAGAGATGTGGGAACCATGGTGGGATAAGAAACTGGGGGCACACAGCAAAAACGGGGGGGCCTGGCCTGAAGGCTGCACTCAGCCCTGCCCCAGGGCACCAGGCGCCGTGGCAGGGGCCCGGTCAGATCTGCAGGCAGGAGGATGGCTCCGGCTGCCACGTGCAAATGGGTCGGGACGGAGGGAGGCTGCAGTGGAGGCTGCCATGCATCCAGGTGAGAGGCGGCAGAGCCTGGGATGGGAGAAGTGGCTGTCAGAGGGACGACAGGGACAGGGACACGTTCGAAGCTGTGTAGAAAGTAGAAGGGACCGACTTTGGCTCCGTGTTGAAGGCCGGGGAGGAAGAGGCCAGGGTCACGCTCATTTCTGGATGGAAGAGGGGTTTCTGACCACTCCTGCGTGGGGCTGCCTTCCAGGCCGGCCCCCGAGTGGCAGGGCCTGTGTGTCAAGTTACTTGTCTGAGACCACGCAGCTGGCCAGTGAGCGAAGGTCTGACCGGCCCGTGTCCTCTCCGCCACACCCAGGGGCCAGACGTCCCGCCATTCCAGAGCCTTCCCGCCGCACCCAGGCAGGTGAGCCCGTGAGCCCTCCCTGCCACCCCCCAGTCACTGCCAGCCCCCGAGGCTGCTCACGGCCACCTTGCTGGTGAAACCTCCCCTCACCCATCGTTCCTGCCGGAAGTGGTCGGGACCTGTTGAGTGCGCGTACTTGGTGCCATTTGACAGTTATCTCCACTGCCTTGTCCCGTGGTCTTAGAGAACGTGTTCTGTCCTTCCTAACAAAATTGCCAGCTCCCGGAAACCGCGCTATGTCCTTTCCTCCCTGTACCAGCTGAGAAGACCCAGACTCGGGCTCCTGCCTCCTGCTGCTTCGAAAGATTAAAAGAGGATCAGATCGGTTGAATCACATTGGACCAGGTGGCCCCGAGTCCCCTCTGCTCCCCAATTCATGTCTACCCAAAACCTCAGAATGTGACCTTATTTGGAAATAGGGTCTTTGCAGATGCAATTAGTTAAGATGAGGACTGGAGTAGGGTGGACCCTAGTCCAACGACTGGTGTCCTCATAAAAAGAGAAAACAGAGATGCAGAGATGTCAGCAGAACACAACGGGACAACAGAGCCAGAGACTGGAGTGATGCGTCCACAAGCCAAGGATTGCCAGCGGCCGCACGGGTTAGGAAGAGGCCAGCAAGGACCCTCCTCTGAAGCTTTCTTAGGGAACTCAGCCCTGTGGACACCTTGACTTCAGACTTCCAGCCTCCAGAACTTTGAGAAAATAAAACTTCCATTGAGCCACTAAGTTTGTGGCACGGCAGCCCTAGGAAACCAAAACCCGCACACTCACAGCATAGCAGCAACACCTTGTACAATAAATATCTGGTGAATGAATGAGTATGGGAGATCAGAGGGTGTTAATAACACACACAAAACAACCAGGCGGCCAAGATCGCGATGTACCGATACGTTGCGCGAGTTGGCACTGTCCTCAGACCCTAAGCAAAGTTGACAGCTGTTTAAAACAATTCAACGGCACAGACACAGAGAAAAGGCAATCAACAGTGTTTAAATGCACGAGTTATATAAATCATTTAAGGAGGACCGGGGTTTGTAGCCATTCTCCTCTTTTCTGTGAAGTAAGGAAAGCAAGGCTGTCACAGGGTTCCCAGTTTTCAGCCCACGGGGTTGAGGCAGAGCACTGCTGGGAATGGGCCGGGGATTGCACAGCCAGTGAAAGGCTCCATTCTGGCTACCTCCCCTCAAGGCCAAGGCTGCAGCAAAGGGCACCAGAGAGGGCCCTTGGATCTCAGTCACTAGGATGCACCCGCCCCGCTTCTCCCTGCTCCCATCCTCCAGGCCTCCCCGGCCAGAACCCAGGTGAGCTTTTCCACTTCGAGACGTTTGAAACCGTCACATTCCTCTTCTTTTCCATCGCCAGGATGTGCAGGACAAGGGGGAGCAGCATCCTGGGGTCCCCTCTCAGGGCCTGTCCGCCTGTCTAGCCCACTACCCTCACGCGGCCCCCCGTGCAGCTCTGCCCTTGCCTGGCTGCCCGTGGGATACACCCACTGGAAGCTTCTTCGGAACAGAATGGAGCATCGTGACAGAGCCTTCGGGAGAAGCACCAGGGTTTGCCTGGGGACCAGTGACGGGAGGGACAAGCAACCCCTTCTCCCCTCCTGGACCCGGGAACACATGCCAGGGGGCGGGGCCTGCGTGTGCTGGAATCAGGGTGACCCGCCAAGAACAAATGACCAAGGCAAACAATGAACCCAGCCTGAAGCCAGCAGTATGGCAACCACAGTCGTAAGGTAAAGCCCGTCCCAGAACCACGCGAACCCCAGGGCACTGACAGAGGAGTGGCTGGGTGGGGAACGCCAGCCCCACATCACAGCCAAGGAGACTCAGGCCCGAACAGGTGCAGGGACTGCCCCGAGCTGTGGTCCTCTGGGCCTCAAAGGCAATAAGCATGGTGGCAGGGCGGGGACAGCCCCACTCCCTGCCCAGCAGAGCCAAGGTGGAAGGAGAGACCCCGGGGGATCCCTGCCCAGGCCACACTTCCTGATCCCTAGTAGAGTGGAAATGCTACTTTCCACGTCGCTCTGTTCACAGAGATGCTCCGCAGACCTTCTACAGATCCTACTAACTATTAATAGAAGCCAAAGTCCCCAACGTCAGCCTGGAACCCGAATCCAACCCCGCTCCTCCATGCCTTTACAAGTATCTGCTGGACTGGACTCTCTGCTAGATTGTGTTTTTTCTTGAAAAAGCAGCCCACAGATGAATCTGCTTTGCAAACTTGTTTTCACAAATTCCAAGATGTATGTTCTAGTTCCAGCTGGGCCACTGGCTCAGTCTCTGACTTGGGCAAGTCATTTCCCCTCTCTGGCCTCAGGGTCCCCAACTGCAAAACAAGAGGATCGGATCAGAGGATGTCAGAGATCTAGCACCACTCCAAATTCCGGGATTCTGGAAAACTCGCAACCTAGCAAACAGCCGCGGATGGGCCATGCTTGCAGGCTTCGCTCACACCTCCCCCCTCCTGGGCCACCTCCCCCTTCCTGGGCCGCCTCCCCGCTCTGATAATCTAAATTCTCTGCTGCTTTCAAACCCACAGACAGATTTCAACAGACCGGGTTAATGCTAAAAATCCAAAACAGAAAAAACAGAAAACACAAAGCCCTGCTACGGATATCCACAAAGACAAACTGGAGACAAAGCTCATGGAAAACTGTATACCAAAGTGAGGGAAGAAAAACCATTTGGGTCAAGCTTAAGAAGAATGTAAATAAGCTCATATCTGAAAAATACACATAGTTGGGTATTTGTGGATTCTGAGTCAAGAGAGGGCAAAGAGAGAGTGTTGTGTGTATGTGCATGTATGTATACATGTACACAGTGTGTGCATATATGTACATGTATGCATACATACATGCATGTATTGCCAGTATGTGTATATATGTATGCATGTGTGTACGTGCATCTGCCTATGCATATGTGTGTACATGTGTGTGTGTATATATGTGTATATGTGTATGCCTGTATGTATATATACAGGCTAAAACAACTCTATCTTGGATGCTAATCCACTACATTGACTTCCGATTAACCCCTGGTTCTGGGGATCCCTGTAAGATTTCTACTTTATCTACAGTTACTATAAATCCTGCCCTTAGATCAAAACAACCTTGACCATGAATCCTGCCCTTAGGCAGATCCACATAGCACTCTTGTCTTCCCCTGAGGGGTCGACTTCAATTGTCCTACATACTCCTCCCCTGTGGTGTTTGAGCCCTGGGTCTAGGGGTAGCCGCCTTGGGACATGGCTTCTGTTTGAAAGTTCCTGTTAAATGTTTCTTTCTAAAAAAAAAAATGGATTTGTCAGGCTCTTTCTTTGACCTCTCAGCTTGCTCAGACATTGGGGGTAGGTTTGCATAGATGTGCTCACTACAAAATAGTATATGTGTGTTTATGTATGTGTGTATATGTATACGCATGTGCATATACATCTGTGAAGGCATACATACATGTATATGTGCACGTGTGTCTGTACACGTGTATGCATATGTGTATTATGTATGTGTGTGTTTAAAGACCTTAAGAGAGGAGCTGCACAGAGCAGGGCAGCAAGGCCACTCTAGACAGGAGCGTGGGAACGCAGGAAAGTGCATCTGGAAAAACACCCTCGTCCGCTGCCAGGGCGGAGTTTTGTCCGTGAGAGTTGAACGGTGACTGCATTCAGACATGCCAGCAGAAGTCTTGTAAATCGTGACCACCAGGTCCCTGGCAACAGTGGGAGAGGGAGGTGGGGAAGGGCAGGTCCCAGATACAGTGGCGATACTGAGAGCTGGAGGTGCCAAGAGCTGCTCAGCTGTGACAAGCCGGGAGCCCCAGCGCTATGGACTGAATGTCTGTGTCCCCCAGAGATTCCTGTTGAAACCTAATCCCCAGGGTGATGGGATCAGGAGGTGGCCTTGGGGAGGGGACTAGGTCAAATGGGATCAGTATCCTTATACAGGAGACCCAGTGAACTGTCTCAGCCCTTCCCCCACGTGAGAACAGGGCAAGAACTCGCCAACTCGGAACCAGAAAGAGGGCCCTCGACAGACCCCGAGTCTGCCGGCACCTTGATTTTGAACTTCCCAGTCCCAGAACTGTGAGAAACAAGCATCTGTTGTTTATAAGCCGCCCAGTCGGTGGTGTTTTGTTACACAGCCTGAACAGACTAACACACCCGTCCACAATTCAGAGCTTAAAGACCTGGCAAGCCCAGGCAGGATCAGGACGAAACTCTCAGTTTGAGAAAACTGAGTGTTAAACTTGGTTTGAGAACCAAAGAGAGACGGCGTGAAGGGTTGCCCGGGAGAACCCTGGCAAATGAGTGACCCAGGGCGGTTTCGGTTTGAGCTAAGGAGAGTGGACTTGCAAATGAAAGGACCTGGCTGTGCAGCGTTCAGGGAGGCCGGGATACACTCGCAGGAAGCACGGTGACACCTGCCACCTGGAAGAGGAAGGACAGGGGAAGTGTCCCCAAACACAGGAATCGAGCCAAGGGACAACGCTGTTTTGTCTCTGCATTGCTTATAGCTGGGAGGCAGGATGGTCGGGGACAACAGCTGGGTTTCTGGGCCAGACGGACCCTGGTTTAGAACTTGGCTTCGCCACTTGCCAACTGCATAAGAAACAGTGGGACAGTTATTCAGGTGCCTCATCTATCAAGTGGGGACAATAATACCTTTTTGCAGGACATGAGGATGAGCAGTCTTGAACATCTATTTCGAGAATTAATGTTTACAAAACAGCTGCCTCTTCGTAGGCTGTAACTCACTGAAGCTACTACTACTAGTAAGGACCTGAACAGACTGGTAGGGGCAGGGGAGGTCGAGGAAAAGAGAAGAAAGGAAAAGCTAAGATCCCAGGGCATGGAGTTGGGCAAAGAAATTCCACCTCCTATCCGCCTTTGATTTCTGAGATGCAAAAGCCCAAAGTGACCCAGGACCAGAAAACAGACTGGGCAGGGACACTTCTGCTTGCTTGTCTACAAGATGGGGACAACACCACACCCCCAGAGAGCTGCTGTTTTTAAAGATGCTGTGTAAGCTACACTTGGCACAGTCTCTGACACATAGTAGGTGCTCAAAGTCACATTATTAGTGCTCTTTTAAGCCTTGTCCTACAGGACCTTAGGTGACTGTCAGGCTAGGGAGTTTTTAATGAAACCAGCAGACCTTGGGGAGCCATGTGGGTTTTGAGCAGGGGGTGATGTGGATGCCTCTCCCAGTGCATGCGGGAAGAAGGAGCAAGGCAGGGCTGAGAGGGACCAGTTTGTCAGGGGTGAAGAAAGGGAAGCCGGGTCTTCAGGCTCTCACATTTGTGGGCCCACACGGCAAGAGTACAGTGGAGGCCCCCACATTTTTGTCATCGTAGTTAAGAGTTACATATGAAACTATTAATAATAAGTCACGAAATGAACTATGTTCTTCTACCTGGAAAGCCAAGTTCAAATTTGGAATTCTCTACCACCTTGGGGTTCTTCCTGTGGGAACACTGTGACACTGGGAGTCTTCTCCCCTGTCCCCCGAGCTCTTGGAGGCCCCAGCAGGCCCATCCAAGCTCTGACCACCCAGCCTCGCACCAGCCCCCTTTGGTGCTAATTCTCACGCCTAGGGGTGTGGACACTGCCTCCACTCTCGGCCCGAGGGAACGTGACCTAGGGGAGAGGCCTGTTGGGGCCCTGGAAGTGGGCACAGGCCACTGGGGCAGAAAATTCCAGAGTCCTGTAGGGCGGGACTTAAGGAGGGGGTATGGGCTGGGAATGGCCGGTGCAATCTGGGATGGCGGACTCAGGGGACACAAGGGCGGACGTGCCAGAGGGTCCTTGGAGGCACTGCGGGCCGCGGGCCGGGCGGTACCTTTGGCGAGGGAGATGTTCCGCAGCGCGATGGAGTGCTCCCAGTCCTTGAGGCGCAGGTCCTCGGTGACAGTGTTGAGCATGGCCAGCTCCTGCTTGAGCTGCAGCTCCATGCGCAGGTGCGCCAGCCGCATGCGGCGCGTGTCCTCGCTGGCGTTGCTCACCAGCACCTGCAGGTCCTGCAGCCGCGTGCGGTGCAGGGCCACGTCGTAGGACAGGCTGTGGTTGAGGCCGCGCAGCGCGCCGCCCACGTCGGCCAGCTCCTCGCCCAGGACGCCCACCCTGCGCGCCAGCCCGTCCAGCAGGCCCGCGTGGCGCCGCAGCAGCAGCTGGCTGCCGTTGCTCTCCACCTGCAGCTGGTACAGCTCCAGCTGCGCCGCGTCGCTCTGCTGGCCCGTCCGGTCGCGCAGCAGGGCCACCGCCTGCTCCGTCTGCGCCGCCTGCGCGTGCAGCCCCCACAGCGCGCCCTCCAGCCGCTGCACCGCGCCCGCCAGCGCCAGCAGCGAGTCCGACTGGTTCTGCAGCGCGTCCTGCACCTTCCACACCTGCTCGCTCAGGTCCGCCTGCAGCGGAGCCTGCAGCAGCCGCAGCTGCAAGTCCCGGAAGCTCTCGTTCAGCCGGTTCACGTTCCGGGTCAGCGCCTTCAGGTCATCTGGGGAGCTGCGCGGCCTGGACACTGCGGAGGGGAGAAGGGGAAGGGAGAGGTCAGCGGCTGGGGAGGGAGGTCCAGGTAACACGAGGTAAGCCCAGCCAGAGCCGGGCATGCATGCAGAAGGTACTCAGTAAACAATAAATGAATGAAAAGCAGAGGTGGCCAGCATTGAGTGCTTTCATAGATCCCAGGCCTTGCGCTAAGCCAGCAGTCCCCAACCTGTCTGCATATAGAATCACCTGGTCAGGTGTCCCACCTGCAGAAATTGTGATTAAATTGCTCTGGGCTTTGGAATTTTTAAAAGATCTCAAAGTAATTGCAGGGTGCAAAGTTTGTGAACGGCTGTGCTAATCTAAGCATCAGGTATTAGGTTGATCCATATGAAACAGTCACCTTTTGCTGTTGAAAAGTGACCGTATATCAGCAGTCCCATGTAGATCAACTCAAGACACTAGGTGCTGTTATGCTCTCAATTTTAGGAGGTGACTACCTGCTGCAGTCTGAATGTGTCCTCCCAAAATTCATACGTGAAACTTAATCACCAAAGTGATAGTATTAATATTAAGAAGTGGGGCCTTTAGGAGGTGATGAAGTTACCAGGGCAGAGCCCTCATGAATGAAATTAGCGACCTTGTAAACGAGGGTGGAGGGAGCTGTTCGCCCTCTCTGCCTTGTGCGGACACATAGAAGCCACCATCGATGAGAAAGAGGCCCTCCCCAGACACCGAGTCTGCTGGAGCCTTGAACTTGGACTTCCCAGGCTCCAGAACTGTGAGCAATAAATGTCTGTTGTTTATAAATGATCCAGTCTAGGCTATTTTGTTATGGCAGCCTGAACGGACTAAGGAAGTACCATTATTACCTCCTTTTACAGTTAGAGCTGTTCAAGTTGTCCAGTGTAATGATTTGCGGCAAATAAATCCTAACCCAAGGGCTTGCTCCAGAGCCCCGGGGCTTTCCCTCCAGCCGGCTCCAGCTGCCTGGAGCAACTTCGCCCTGCAGCAGACTCGGCCAGACCTCTTTCCTGCTCACATGCTACGGTGACTGACGGCCCCTCTGGGTGGGCGAAGACTGCCTTCACATTGACACCCTCCCTTCCTTCTCCACACCCTCCAACCCTTCTTCTAGACCCCTATTTCCCTCCTCAGCAAACAACCGTCCCATAACACCTTCCCTTTCCTCTTGGAGACGTTTCCTTAAGCAGCCGTTTCACAATACGAAGAGGAGGGACGCGTAGCTTCATCACTATGACCCAGCACCCCTATGTGTCCTGGGCGATCGGGGGCTGCGCCGACTCAGGCACGCTACAAACCCTGGGCAGGGCTGTCTAGGTATGCTCACTGCCTGCTGGCTGTGTGCTGGCCACAGCTGTCCCCAAGGAAATGAAATGATGGCCCAGTCACAGCCCAGGTAGCCTCAGGAATTGTCGCCTGAAGAAATCATCATAGGCCAGATTTCATTCTAGAACCAGTGTGTCTGTCCAATATTCGGCCCCAACTAGGTGACGAGTAGTAAGACGGGGCTGCTGGAGAACAGAAAGCCCGACAGTTTCAAGGCAGTGCTTCTCATGATGCCCCTGAGCTCCAAGACACACCACAGCTTATTAGCGGTAGTAAGAACATTCTGAGTTTTGTAAGCTCTGGTTTTAATATTGGGGTCATGAGTGACGAAGAGAAATAGTGCAACCTCCTGGATGGAACCCCCAGCTTCCAAACTGATTTAAGGGCACATCTCTTCCCAGCTCCCCTGGTCCCTGCTTCCCTCTGCAGGGGTCCCCGTGCCCAGCTGGTCCTCTGTGCCCCGGCAGGCTCCTCCCTGCCCACCAGCCACCTCCTCCCAGCACCTGCCAGCTCTGGGCCCTGCTCCCTGTGCGGGAAACTGGACTGAAACTTGGTCCACGTGGGGACGGCTGGCAGTCAGCTACCCCTTCCCAGAGAGTCCATTTGCATCCTTTATTGTTGTTCATTGCACAACCAATATTCACATAAATCCAAATAAAAGGGAGGAAAAATTCTTCCACCATCCCACAACCTCCAACAGAGCACACTGGTGTTCTTTTCATTTCCCTTCCCCAGCTCTGTCCATACGCATACCCAATCTTTACTCTTTGATTTCTGGCCTTTTTCCCCCACCTAATATAATTATTATAATTATTTCATAAGCATTTTCCCATCCTTCTCCCTTTCTTTCGTAATTAATACTTTGTTGACTGCATAAGAGTCCCTCAAGGGGACACATTGAAGAAAAGATCCTGTTCTCTTAAAACAAGTAAATTATACTCATGATAAATACGCACAGAAAGGACTTCCCTGTTTTGAAATTTTTCCTAATAATAAATTCCCAGAAGCTGGATTAATAGGTCAATAGCATGGACATTTTTATGAGTCTTAAAAATTCCAGCCAAACCACTTTCCAAAAAAGTTGTACTAATTTATGTTTACATTATAGACTTTAAACTGTGCACCACACTTTGCTCATGAAGCTGCCCTTTTGTGACCTTGTCGTTGCCTAATATCTTGGAAGAGTAGATTACGCCTGCTGGTCCTAAAGATCTTTCCCTGCACCCCAGATGGGCCGCAGAACCCGTCCCATGTACCTGTGCATCCCCTGCCAGCTAAAGATGTTAAAGGACCCTGCTAGGGACCGAATTGTGCTCTCTGCAAACTCACATGTTGACGCTCCAACCCCCAATGCAGCTGTATTTTTAGACAGGGCCTTTAAGGAAGTAATTAAGGTTAAATAAGGGTGGGGACCTAATCCCTGGGACTGGTGTACTTATAGGAAGTGGAAGAGACGCCAGGCAGAAAGGCCACATGGGGACACAGCAAGAAGGTGTCCTACAAGCCAGGAAGAGGCTTCAGAAGGAACCAACCCTGTGGACACCTTGATCTCAGACTTCCAACCTCTAGAACTCTGAAAAAACAAATGTGTGGGCCGGGCATGGTGGCTCACGCCTATAATCCTAGTACTCTGGGAGGCCAAGGCGAGAGGATCGCCCAAGGTCAGGAGTTTGAAACCAGCCTGAGCAAGAGCGAGACCCCGTCTCTTCTAAAAATAGAAAGAAATTAATCGGCCAACTAAAAATATATATAGAAAACTTAGCCGAGCATGGTGGCGCATGCCTGTAGTCCCAGCTACTCGGGAGGCTGAGGCAGGAGGATCGATTGAGCCCAGGAGTTGGAGGTTGCTGTGAGCTAGGCTGATGCCATGGCACTCTAGCCCAGGCAACAGAGTGAGACTCTGTCTCAAAACAAACAAACAAAAACAAATGTGTGTTGTTTAAACTACTGGTCTGTGGATTTTCCCAGAGCTGCTCTTTGGGCCCTAGAAGATTAGTAGCAGTTAGTTTTTGGGGGACGAGCTTCATAATTTGCAGGGCCCAGTGCACAGCAAAAGTGTAGGGTTGTTTTGTGCAGAAAGCAGGACAAAAAAACTGTGTCCTTGCTGCCCTGGTCTCTCTCTTGACCTGCCATGGTGTTTTTATTTGCTGTTTACCACTGTACTGCCTCGGGCGTGGGGACACCTGGGGGCCGATGGAGACCCTCACGGGCACCTGGGGCCCTGTCCTGAGACTCATCACACATGCTGGACCTGACTCTGACCCCCAACTTCGGGGCTGAGACCCCAGCCGAGTGCTGAGGGGCTGCAGCACAGAAGCCTGGGCTCCATGTCCCCAGCACAGGCTCCAGTGTCCCATGGGACTTCGCCGAGGAAACACAATTCGAAGATAAATCTGTCATCAGTTCCAGGAGAGCGATGGCAAAGCATTAAACCCCGAGGTGGGGCCCTGGTTCTCTCCTACATCTGGGGGTCAGGGGAACCCTAATTAAAGTGTGCATCACTCTAAGTGCTAGAGCTCTATGATTTGTTACAGATCCTCAATGAATATTAGATTCTGCTTTTACATGAATTTTCCATTAAAGTCACATGTAGACCTCAGTAGATTCAACCCGGTTTTGCAGACCCCCTGAACGCAGGCCCCTGCCTTTGCCTTGGTGCTCCTGTGGACATGCCGGCTTGGCAGTGGCATTTCAGCCCCATCCTTTCCCACACTCTGCCCTCGAGGAGATGTCCTGTGAATTCTGGTACCCGCCTGCCTGCCTGCCTTCTGTGCCACAGGCCTAAAGGGAAGGCAGGACTTGTTGGGAGGGCAATGCAAGAGGCATGGGCTCAGCGCCACCTCCTACTAGGGGGGTGACCTTGGGCTAGGTACTGAGTAGCTCTAGTTTGGGTTTTTTAATCTGCAAAATGCAGGGTTGGGGCGACTGCGGGAGGATTGTGAGGCATTTGGCAACGTGCGCTCCACCATCGCTCCCCTAGAAAGAAAGAGGAGAGAAGCTCCATGCTATGTGGGGCAGGGGGAGGACAGCAGGACCTTCAGAAATCGAGCAGTCTGAGCCTGCCTTCAGCTCTGCCACCTTCCAGAACTACTCCATCTGACAATGAGTGTAACAATTCCCACTTCATTAGGTGGCTGGGAAGAGCAAAAGAAGCAACTTGTAGCAAGAGACTAGAACCAAGCTTGGTATACAGTAGGTGCTTAATAAATGCCATTTTCCTTCCTGCTTCCCCTGCTTGGAGTTTGCTGTGTGACTGACTATCCCGGCAGAGGGTGTAGAGGACAGAGTACCACAGTAAAGGACAGATGGCCCAACGTCACGCTTATTTTGTGCTTCGGGCAATCCCTTGACTTCCCGAGCCTCTCCTTTCCTGTCCGTACATGAGATTGCGGCTTGTCCTCCCCGCATTGCCACGCTCAATCAGGTGGAAGGTTAAGTGAGGCCATGCACGTGGAATGCTATGCAGAGATAAAGGGTGTTATTGCATGGATGCCCCAGGTTTAGGTCACTAAACCTCCACGAGAACGCTTAGCCTTCTTCCTGTCTACCCCACACAGGGCCTTGCTGGCACGGTAGTTTCGGGGAAAACTGCCCGTCTGGTAGATCACATCCAAAGCACCCTGACTTTACTAGCAGATGAGTACTTTTTTTCATGGACATAAAGGACGATTATGGAGCAGGGGG